ACATTTCATCATGTTGTATTTAACATTTAAAAATAGTAAGCTATAATATAAAAATATAAACTATTTGTAATGACTAACTTCTCAAAATGGATAATGAATCCAATAGCAATGTATTATTGATCAATGAATGAAGAAGACGGAAAAGTATTTACGGTTTGTTGATGGTAAGAAGATATGTGTTTAGATTAACTTTTCAAATTTTTTTATCTTTTTTTTTTTTAAAAAAAAATTCATATTATTTAATATAATATACATATATGCAACGTTTATAATATACAAACTAAATCATCACATCGTAACATTAATGACATTCAAATCAAGTATTAAATGCTCCTAAAAAGGTGTCACTAAGGGTAATTTGAACATTTTACACAAAAATGTGACATTTTTTAACACCAAAAGTGAAAATGACAAATTTTTGAAGATTTTCAAATTTAGTGATATTTATGAAAAATCCCCATTTACCCCCACATTAAACTAGTTAATTAATTTTCTTTTTTTAAAAAAATTGCAAATACATGAAATAAAATAAAATAAAAATATAATAGCATAAAAAGATTCTAGAGAAATTCAGCACGGCAACGCGAGACTTGGGTTGAGAACTTGGCCATCCCGAGGAAGTAATTACATAAAGTAATTTTTTTTCATTAATATTAAATTCTTTTCAGTTTGTCATTGAAAAATAAGGATAAATTTGTCCAATAGGACCTAAGTAGTTTTATTAAACTTGAATTGAACCGGTTCGATACGAAAACTGGCAAACTGCCCACTAGTTCAGTCTGGATTATTCAAATAATAAGATATGGAATTAACCCATTAAAAACCTGTCCGAATTTGGTAGACAACGAGTTTGAGATTCTTCATCGTTATTTAGGTGCATATACTACGCAAAACGATCAAAATGATGGCAATTGTTTGACTAATACTACTGTTTCTTTTTTATTATTATTAAAATATATATATGATGTAATGTTGAATTTTAAACTTTTTCCAGATGAATTACATTTTGATAATCCTGATCTTGATGGTGATGGAAATAATGGCAATGATAATGAAAATAGAAGTAATACAAATAATGGAAATGAGGATTCGAGTACGATCAAGCCTCCATCATGGGCACAAAGCAAATGAATTGAAGAATTTATGTCTGAACCAAGTATGAATGTACTCTAACTCTTCTTAATTGAGAAAGTACAGAATTAATACAAAAATTACTTTGTAACATGTGCTTTATGCATGAATAATTTTCAAGTGTTGATTTTATTTTTGCAAGCATATCTTATAGTATATGAAGCTATTTTGTTGAACTCTTCTAGATAAAATAGTTTTTGGTAAGTGGTTGTTTTATTGTTTCAAATGCATATTTATACATGATCTAGAATTTGTCTCAATATGTATGCATGGAGAAAACCACCTATATCAATTTCATCAGTATTATCTATGATAAAGTTTAGTGAGCAACGAATAACT